TCTAACCCTAAACCCTGACCCTAAATGCCACAGTATCTGACCCCTACCCCTGACTCTAAACCCTGACCTTAAACCTTAAACCCTGACCCTAAACCCTCACCCTAAACCCTAAACCCTAAACCCTGACCTTAAACCCTAAACCCTAAACCCTGACCCTGACCCTGACGCCACAGTGTGTAAACCCTAACCCTGACTCTTAACCCCTGACCCTAAACCCTAACTCTAAACCCTAACTCTAAACCTTAAACCCTAAACCCTCACCCTAAACCCTCACCCTAAACCCTGACCGTAAACCCTAAAGTCTAACCCTAAACCCTGACCTTAAACCCTAAACCCTAAACCCTCACCCTAAACCCTGACTCTAAACCCTAAACCCTAACTCTAAACCCTGACAGGAGGAAGAGCAAACAGGCTCTCAGAGACTACAAGAAGGTCCTTCTGCAGCTGGAGACTCTGGAGATCAACGTCGGTGACCAGTGCAGGAAGGAGTTCACAGGTTTTTAGACCCCCCCTCCTCACCAGACCAGGTCCTGGTCCCGGCCTCCTCTGACTCCCTCCGTCTACCCCCTCAGACCTGATGACGGAGATGATGGACCTGAGCAGCGACGTAGGGGGACCAGGACTCCCTCTGCTGGACTACAGGACCTACGCGGAGAGAGTTTTCTTCCCCGGCCAGAAGATGGCGCTGCTGAGCCGGCAGCTGGACCTGCCGGAGTCCCGGAGGCAGACCGTGGAGCAGGGCCTGCAGCAGCTCAACAACCTGCTCAACAACAGGCTCTTCCTCACCCGGGTGAGTCAGAATCAGAATCAGAATCAGAATCAGGTTTATTGCCAAGTAGGTTTTTAGACTTACAAGGAATTTGCCTTTTTGGTGTTTAGTGCACAACACAACACTTTTTATGAGAAGCAAGAAATAAAATGTAGAAATAAAAATATAGGACAGAATTTGATAAAACTGAAAAATACAATCTTTAAAAATATAGATCCGAATGTGCAAATGAACAATTGAAATGTGCAATATTGATCTGCAACGACAGACCAGAAAATGCTGAAGCATTGGGTAAATTAGTGAGGTGGAGGGGGGGGGGAGAAGAATAGGTGGGGGTCGCTGGCCTTGTTGATGAGTCAGGACGGCCCCTGGTCTGGAGGTCTGAAGGGGCCTGAAGGCCAGCAGGTCTGGAGGGACCTGAAGGCCTAAAGGGACCTGAAAACCAGAAGGTCTGGAGGTCTGGAGGTCTGAAGAGGCCTGAAGACCAGCAGGCCTGAAGGGACCTGAAGGTCTAAAGGCCGGCCAGCAAGGACCTGAAGGTCTGAAGGCCCAAAGGCCAGCGGTTCTGAAGGGACCTGAAGGCCTGAAGGGACCTGAAGGCCTGAAGGGACCTGAAGGCCAGCCGGTCTGAAGGGACCTTAAAGCCTGAAGGCCAGCAGGTCTGGAGGGACCTGAAGGCTAGCGGGTCTGGAGGGACCTGAAGGTCTGAAGGCCAGCAAGCAGGACTGAAGGGACCTGAAGGCCTGAAGGGACCTGAAGGCCAGCGGGTCTGAAGGCCTGAAGGTACCTGAAGGCCAGCCGGTCTGAAGGGACCTGAAGACCTGAAAGTCTGAAGGGACCTCAAAGCCAGCAGGCCTGGAGGGACCTGAAGGCCTGGAGGGACCTGAAGG